AAAATAATATTTCATCGTTATTAATATTTTATTTCAAACACGGTTTTAATTAGATATAAATAATTACAATTCCAGAGTTTTAGTATTTTCTTGTATATTTATATATATATATATATATTAATAAATAATATGAAATCAAATTATTATACAGATATAAAAGGCTCTTCTCCACTCTGCATTGCAATATTGGTTTATGGGACCAAACACCAACTTAGCGCCGTCAGCTTCATATTATATATACACACAAAATTATGATGACAGAATAATTCACATATATAAATAATTTGAGTACATTATTATAGATACGAGAATTTAAATAAAAATATAATTAGTAAGTTACTAAGAAGTACATTAATAAAAATAATTATAAATTAAGATTAAAATAATTAAATAATTTAATTAAAATTAAAAAAATTATAATATTTAAAATGTGATTAAAATGTATAATTATACTTCTGAAAAAAGTTTTCAAAATAATATGAGACGGACAAAAATAAAAATTAAGGACAAATTATGTGGAATTGACAGTGTACAATTACCATAAATAAGAAGTAACACAAAATGATTAAAAGATTATCAAAATTACATCATTTAAAAAGTTAATAAAAGCTAAGGGAACATAAATAGTAGAGCATGTTTTTATTACAAGAAGATTTATTACACAAAAAATTCAGTGACCAATGCCCATTCCTAAACTCACCCATTCCTATTGGGAAAATTTGATGTATGTTTTGTATTTCAATAATATTTTATGGTATATTTGTGAGATAAATATTCTATTTAAAATATTATTTTTATTATTTTTGTCCGTTTCATTAAAAAAATTACTATCATTTTCTATTATAGTAAAAATGATTCCTCGCTAATATCAAAGTTTTTTATATACAATTAATTTATACATAAAGTAAGTCTTGCAATGAATGTCCGGTGTATAGGATTGTACTCGTGACTGTAAGGTTATGAGTTCAAACGGACTTGGTTTGTTGGCTATTAAGTCGAGTAGCGGCTGCAAATTTTCAAATCAAAAATATATATAATACAAATGTAAAAAATGTCAAAATTATCTTATTCTATTCATCAATAAAATATTATTGTTTTTTAATCTATTACATACTTCAAATGGCTTCATTGAATTGAGATGAAAAGAGTATATATATACTACATCTCCGTCTGACTCTAATGGTTTCATTTACTTTTTGCGTGTTGATATTTTAATATTAATTATAATATTAAAACGTAGTACAAATCAAGAAAAAATTGTAAAAACACTTCAATTAATGTCTTATAATATTAATAAAATGACATTTGTACAAAAAAAATTATACAAATATAAAAATATTTTTAATGTTAAGTACAATGACGCAAAAGGTAAATATGATCCTCAGAGACAGACAGAGGGAGTATATTTTTTTTCTTTTACAAAATATCTCATTATACAATATTTTAATACCAAACTAAAACCAATTTTTTTCCAAACTCATCTGAAAAGATGAAATATTTTGTAAGAAAAAAAAAATATTTTTTTGGAGAAATAGAGAGTTCAAATAGTAAAAATCGGGAGTTTGGGGTAAAAGAAACATACCCTATGTTGTTCGTGTGAATGACCTCGACTTTTCTTTGTCGTTCAACAACTCAATAAGCGAATCATCGAGAATTAAATTAACGATCGATTCGCCCTACCAATCATACAGTTGGTATGTCTCATCGAGTTTTCATTTATTTCACGCGTACATATTGTCTGAATCTTGTTTTAGTTAAAGCATATATGCATTGTATTTCTTGTTATAAGATTATTATTTTTCATGAATATTTAGATTCTGAATAAAATAGCATAGACACATCCAAGATTGGATCTTTTTTGTCCACAATTAATTATATATATTTAAAATCCAACATTTCACAGAGACAAGAAATCCACAAACTTGTAAGAAAAGTAACAAATAATTTTTTGTTTTAATAAAACATTTTTTTAGAAAAAAAAAAAAGTAAAATTTATGAGGAATTGTGAGAGTTGATCAGTTGTGTCTGTTTGAAGAATTTTATAATTAATAGGAGAATATTGATGTAAAAAAATATAAATATGAAAGTATTTGTAATAAATAACATGGTTCTTACAAATTTAAAAAATAAATAAATTTTTTGTATTTAAACTTTAAATAATAAAAAATGGCAAAATATATACTTACCAAATGGATGAAATCAATAATATTTAATTTTTCAACAAAGTTCCAACTATATTTATCAACATGCAACCAAACAGTCCTTAGTTTTTTTAAAGCATTTATACTCATTTTATTGAATTTTTTTCAAACCAAACACATATTGTATCCTAACGTAACGTAGATACTCTCTTCGTCCTATAAATATAGTTTTAATTGGATTGGATACGAGATTTAAGGAATATTGTATTATATTGATAGTTAGTAAAAAGTATGAATAAAAGACTTTTTTATCTTTGTAAGTGTATTAGTGTAAAAAGCAGTGACAATTGTGTAATAAAAATAAAAAAGTAGGGGTAATTTTATGGTGATATGATTATTTATGAAAACAAGACTATTGTTTTAAAACAAACAAAAATAATAAACAAAACTATTGTATTGAAACGAATGGAGTATTAAAAAAGCAATATCTATCTCAGAAAAAAATAAAATCAAACTCCAATCATACTTCGAAAGAGACCCATTTGTATGGAGTTTTTTTTACCAGACTTTTATTAGTTCATAATTTTTTTAATAAAAAAAAATATCAAATTAAATACTTACTATTTTTCTATATCATATCCCCTCTGTTCCAACTAATTTGCTAATCTTAACGGGGCACATAGTTTTTTATATTGTGTAATCAGTAAATAATTATGATATAATAAAAATAATTATAAATTAATATTAAAACGACTAAATAGTTTACTTAGAGTAAAAAATTACTTCATTCGTCCCTTAACAATCTATCCATTTTTTTATTTTCGTCCGTCCCATAACAAAATATTCATTTACTTTTTTAAGTAACTGTATTATCTACCTAACATTACAAATACCCTTCCGATTTATAATATATTACTACAAAAGTCATTAGTTTTATATCATACAATACTTAATAAGGACAATTTAGTCTTTTTACTTTTACTTATACTAAGTGAATAAATTATATGATGCGAAAGAAATATTAAAAATTCATTTTATATTATTAATTTATATCGTATCAAATAATTATTTTAATTCAAAATATTCAATTCTAAACCCAATTTCCAAACAGACAGAGAAGAGTTGGAATGATACTATTAGGATTGGGGATTAAATACTCTCTTTATTTACCTTTAAATTTTGTGTTTGTCGTCCGCTTTGCTTTTACTTTGGTTGAAAGACCAAATGGCAAAGGGGAAGCAAATCTCTACTAACAAATCTTTTTTTTCTTTAAATTTATTTAAAAAAAAAAAAAACCAAATCTTACATTCACTGCACTTTTGCTGACCAACAAAGACACTTCTTCGGGGCAAATGACGATGTCGTTTTATGCGTTGATTCATGTCAAAACGACATCGCCTTCCACCAATCAATCATTCTGGGCCCCGCCCAAAATAAGGTTTTTTTTTGTTTTATTAAAAAAATGAAATTAGTAATAGGTGTGTTTGTTTGGATGATTTTCCTTAAATTTTACTCCCTCCGTCAAGCGAGAATGAACCTTTTAATTAGAGACACGATTTTTTTGGCAGCGTACATTAGTAAATTATTAATAAAAAGTTGTGATATTAGTTCATTATTTTTTATATTAATAATATTATTGGTATTTTAAAAATTTTTAAGATTATATCTCAAAAAAATATATGTAATATAAATATTATTTTGTAGATAATAAAATTTTATATAATACAAATAAATTATTTTTTTCTTTTTTATTTGTCATTACCATAAATTAGTTTTATAAAAAATAAGAAATTTTAAATATAGATAAAAAAAATTACATTAATTGAGAAGAGAGATAGAAATAAAAGGGTTTTGAGTGGGTCTACGTGTAAGATGTTACAAGTTTAATTAAATTGATTTATATTTGTTAAGTATTTTAAAATTGATAAAGTTACCAAAAATAAAAATGATCATCTGTGCCAAGACGGATGGAGTACTATTTATTTATTTATTTTTAAAATATTAAATCAAATATTTATTTTTTATTTTAATACTATACTCAAAATCAATTTTACATTCAAAATATCATATCAATACCTATTTATATCACATCATACAATTATTCACATTCAAATTTTTTTTATTAATATCTTTGTCCCGTAAAAAGAGTAACATTTTTTTTTTCAATTAGATTTTTGAATATTAGTATTAAATTGGTTTACAGTAAAAAAAAATGTAATTACATTTATGTAATATATTAGAAATTGTAAAGGTATTAATTATATATGGATAAATAATAAATTACTAAATTAGAAAATTATATTTTTTATTGGAACCGATAAAAATAAAAAATAGTACTCCATCCGTCTCATTAAAAGGTTACCATTTTCCATTTTTGTCCGTCCCAAAACAAGGTTACCATTTTCTAATTTAGTAATTGTACTACCTACTTCACGTAATAAATACCTTTCAACTTACAATATATTATACAAATCAATATGCCATTACTTTTATATTACACCATACTAATAGAGAGGTATTTTTGTTTTTTTTACTACAATCTAATATAATACTAATATTTAAAAATTTACTTGAAAAAACAAACACTGTCCTTCTTGCGGGACAGAGGGAGTATTCAAATTCCAATTCAAACTACAAAACCAAACAAACAAACACACCCTTCAAAAAGCACTCGCCCGCCACACCCACACCAACGCGGGTGTGTGTGTGTGCGTGTTTTGTGGTCTGCCTGAGCTGCTAATTTTCTTACACTTTATTCTGTTTCAAATTCAATGCTTTGCTGCTGTTTGTGGTTTTGCTGCTCCTGAGAACGAGGCACTGTTTTTTTAGGGTTTAAAAAATTACAAAAAAGAAATTTTGGAAATCCTCTCAAATCCCATTTCTCTCTCTCTCTATCCCCCATTTCTCTCTCTAAATATATTACATGTCTTGTTCTTAAGCCTGTCTTTGTCTCGACACCAAATCTACATTCTGCTGTAAAGATCGAAGAAATTAAAATCTTTGCCATGAATGAATGAAGAAATTCGAAACCCCCAATTTCAATTTTTGATGTTTCTTTGAAGTGCTGTGTTTTTTAATTTTTTTTTATTTTTGTAAATCTGTTGTTCTTCTGGATTTCTGTTCTGTTTCGAACAATGAATGGTGGGAATTCCCAGCGAAGCAATAAGGTATGATCTTAATCCCTATTTTTAGGCAATGAGGGGTTTTTGTTATTTTTTATTTTTTATTTTTATATATTTTTTTATGATTTTGTTCATCAATGACTGTTCTTGAGATGGGTTTTGGTTTTCTTGGTGTTTGTCTGCCTGAAGCTTTCATGGACGAAGAAGCTTGTCAGAAAGTGGTTCAGTTTCATGTCGAAAGTCGACGATTTTAAGGAAGGTGAAGCTGCCAATGGAGGTAAGAATTTAAGCCCAAGATTAATATATATAATCGACATCAATTTCATCAATTGGGATCTTCGAAATGATTCGATTTGTTGAAATTATTGTTGTTTTCCCAATTTCTGTTTTGTGATTTAAATGCCATTGTTATTACCTCTTCAGCTGTTGATTTCAAGAACACCTTTTGTGAAGGCCACCATCACTCTGCAATCAAAAACAGTAAATTTGGTTAGTATCTATATGTCTATATTTATATATATATATATATATATATGACGGCGGTTACCGTGTTTATAATTTTGTAATGAAGAGATGATTGTATATATACGGCGGCGGCCGTTACCGTACTAATTTTATAACCAATGAGATGATCATGTGTATATATATATATATATACGACGGCGATTACAGTGCTTATTTTATAACGAATGAGATGATCTTGTGTATATATATATATATAACTGCGGCTACAGTGCTAATTTTATTACTATTAAGATGATCATGTGTATATATTTATATGACGGCGATTACAAAGCTAATTTTATAACGAAGGAGATGATCATGTATATATATATATATATGACGGCAGGTACAGTGCTAATTTTATAACGAATGAGATGATTTTGTGTATATATACGACGGCAATTATGGTGTTAATTTTATAATGAAGAGATGATCGCGCGTGTGTATATATATATATATATATGGTACCCGTTACTGTGATGAATTTTAAAATGATGAGACGATCGTTTTGTTTCTGCAGAGAAATCGGCGAGGAACATAGAACGATCATTTTCGCAGCGACGATCGCGGTCGCGCCGAGGCCGCGGCTATCTCGATCACCCCCAGATCATAAACATACAGAATTATAGGTTTGTGTACTTAGATTGACTCACATTGGATGTAATTTTCCGCAAGATTCGATTTTTAATCATCGGTCTCGATAATTATGTGTTCAAATCCATCGATTAGTGTCTTCGTATCGACGTGGAATGTCGGAGGGAAGTCGCCGTCGAGCCAATTGAACTTAGACGACTGGCTGCATTCCGCGCCGCCGGCAGACATATACGTGCTCGGGTATGACGACATTTTTCGATGTAGTGTTCGATTCTTTCGATTACAAACTGCCCGATTTTGATCGTTCTTACGTCGATTTGTAGGTTTCAAGAAGTCGTTCCTTTGAACGCCGGCAACATTTTGGGCGCCGAGGACAACGGTCCGGCGAGAAAATGGCTCGGTCTGATAAAGAAAACGTTAAATTACGCCGCCGCTGGCGGTGGCGGTGTTGGCAGCGGTCGATACACCCCGTCGCCGGTCCCGATTCCCGTCGCCGAGTGGAATGTCGATTTCGAGGGATCCATGCGGCACAATGCGTCGACGTTTTTCCCGCGTAGCTCGTTCCAGTCTCCGCAATGCTGGCGATTGGATAGCGACGTCGCGGCTGCGTCGAGCGAGAGGAGATTCAGCGTTTGCGATCGAGTCGTTTTCGGTCATCGGGCTAGCGATGATTTCTCGTCGAGCCAGAGGCCGAGCGATTCGTCGTCATGTCCCCGTACAAGCGATTATTCGTCGAGCCGGAGGGCGAGCGACTATTCGCGGTGGGGTTCCGATGAGGATTATTTGCAAGTTGACTCGCCGAGCACGGTATTGCACGACGACGGGGAAGACGCACGCGGACGATCGAAATACTCGTTAGTTGCTAGTAAGCAAATGGTCGGGATTTTTTTGACGGTATGGGTTCGGAGCGAGCTCGACGAAAACGTGCGGAACGTTAAGGTTTCTTGCGTCGGCAGGGGACTGATGGGCTACCTTGGTAATAAGGTAGGTCATCGACATTCTTGAAATAACGACATTTTTGTCTTAACGAAGGTTTCTTAAGTCGGGAACTGTCCTTTTTACTGCAGGGATCGATATCGATAAGCATGTTATTACATCGAACCAGCCTGTGCTTTGTCTGCAGCCACTTGACGTCGGGGCAGAAGGAAGGCGACGAGCTTCGCCGGAACGCTGATTTTATGGAGATTTTGAGGAAGACGAGGTTTCCTCGCGTTAAGGGCGTTAATGACGAGAAATCGCCGGAGACAATCCTACAACACGAGTAAGATTAATTCTCTTTCGACATTTACACATGTTGTAATGAAATGATCGGGTAGTCTTAACGCGCGTCGAATATGTCTGCAGTCGAATTATTTGGCTAGGAGATCTAAACTATCGAATAGTGTTGCCGTACCGATCGGCGAAAGCGCTTATAGAAATGCAGAACTGGCGGGCTTTGTTAGAAAAGGACCAAGTACGATGTTAATATTAGTGTGATCGATATATATCCTCGTAACGATTGTCCGTATTCTGACGAATCGATTGTTTTTTTAGTTGCGGATGGAGCAGCGACGGGGGAGAGTTTTCGACGGGTGGAGAGAAGGGAAGATATACTTCCCGCCGACGTACAAATACTCGCACGATTCAGACAGGTATGCCGGAGACGACATGCATCCGAAAGAGAAACGGCGAACGCCCGCATGGTAAGATAAATGACCTCTCTGACTTCGCAAGGATATGCATTGTTCGATTCTTACATTTATTTACATTGACGAAGATCGAAATAACAATACGTTGTCTGAATTTTTAAGGTGCGATCGCATACTATGGTATGGAAGCGGAATCCAGCAGCTGTCGTACGTTAGGGGCGAGTCGAGATTTTCAGACCACCGGCCTGTTTCGAGCGTTTTTTGGGCCGAGGTCGAGTGCGTCCCGGATCTATTGAGGAAAAGTATGAGCTCTCGGTCGAGCTCCAGAGTCGAGGCTGAGGAGCTCTTCCCGTACTCGCAGGGCTATACTGAGCTCTGCTTCTTTTGACCCGATCGACCCACCCGCAGTCGATTGATCGAAAATACGTACACACAGATATAGAGATATATATATATATATATGTAGAGGATGTGTTGAAGGTGTGAGGTTGTTCATCAATGGAGATATGAACTGTAAATTTGGACACATACAGATTGGGATTTGCTGTGTTTTTTTTTTTTACAATGTGGGAAGCCGCAGCCGCTATTCGAAAGTGCGCATTGGATAAACCCCCGGCCGAACTTAATAAATAGCCTGCAAATTAGGTACGACGGACAAGTGACACATAGTGTGACAGGTGACCTGAAGCGTCAGGATCTGCTGTGTTTTTTATTCTTTGGTGTGTAGTTTTTATCGGAAAACTACATTTGCTAACCTTACATGGACTGACACACTTATATTTCATTTGTTTTTTCAAATATTTTTGTTATTATATCTAATTTGGGGTATTTTAATTTTTGTTCTTCTATAAATTTTCTTCATTTATATGTTTTTATTTATTTTAAATATAATTTATAAAATTATTTGGTTAAAATAGTAATATACATATATCATTATACTTATACACGTAGTATTCTTATATACATCCTCAATCTCCACTAATCATGCTACTTTGTTTAGACGCGTAGACTGATAAATAATGATAGGTATATAAAAAATAATTATTGAAAATTTATTCAAAAAAATAAATAAAAATATGATATGATAAGTAAAAAATAGTGACAAATTATAATTAATTTGTTAAAGTATAAATAATTTGACTTCTTTTATTGGTATAAAATGCAAATTATATGTGTTTACAATAAAATATCAATTTTTGGACGAAGATATATTTTTTGCATACTTTAATACAAGAGAATTTTACATAATAACTAAAATATAAAATATTTTTGTATTTATTAAAATACAATAAGATACTCCGTCATTTCCACCACAGATGACCCATATTTTCTTCTTTTTATTTTTGGTAAGTTTATCAATCTTAAACATATTTAACAAATATAAATCAATTTAATTAAAATTTTAACATTTTACTCAAAACCCCCTTATTTCTATATCTCTCCTCAATTAACAAATATTTTTATCTATCTTTAAAACTCCTCATTTTTATAAAACTAATTTATGATAATGATAAATAACTAAATATATATTTTTTTATTTATTTGTATTTTATAAAATTTTATTGTCTACAAAATGATATCCATATTGCATATATTTTATTGAGATATATTTGTAAAAATATTTAAAATACCAATAACACTATACATATAAAAAATAATAAAATATTATCTTAACTTATTATTAATAACTTAATAATTTATACTACCTAAAATACCGTGTCCCTAACAAAAGACTCCATCTTTCGCGAGACGGACGGGAGTATTATGTAATTTACCCAATATTATAGTAGCAATTTAGGGTGTGTTTAATTGATGAATTTTTTGAACTTTAATTTTAGATTGAATAATAATTTGAAGAAAATATTTTACACTATAATGTATAGTGCATTTTTACAGACAATTATGAAAATTAAATTGTAAATTTTTTTAAATATAATCACAAGAAGAGCAAACTCCCTTTAATCTCATTATCATTTCTTTTAAATAATTTTGATGGCAATCTTTTATTATTATTATTATTATTATTATTATTATTATTATTATTATTATTATTATTAATCCTAATATCAAAATTAAATTAATTTTCCGATTTTTTCTTTTGGTTCATCTTATAAATCATCTTTCAATATTTTTGTTTGCAATTAATTTAATTGGGAATCAATTAGTCAAATTTCTTAATAAAAATTACACATTGTACGAGTTAAAATAAATACTGTTTTGAGTTTTATATAATATAGAAAATATATATTAATAATTATATTATTTTTAATGCATATAAAAATATGATTATGTTTTTTGGTGTTATATCTTTTGAGTGATTAATAAAATCTGTCCTTACTAATTCACCTAATCAAATAAATATTTTATTGAATTAACAAAATCTCTATAATTGAAATTATTGTCGCGTCTTTTTTTTTTTTTTTTTAATGAAAATATTTTTATTATTTTTATAGGGATAAATATATTTTTAATCATGTATATAGCATCTATTATTTGTTTGATCATTTAAATAGAGTTTACATAAAAATAGTAAAAGTAATAAGATATTACTACCAAAATATATGTAATTTTACATAAATTAAAAATATATTAATTCCTCCGTCTAGAAGAAATGTTGAGAATTTGTACCGGAATTAAAGAATAATAATATTTAATTGAAAGTGGGTATAAAGTAGGATGTAAGAGACTATAATGCCATTACTTTTTTAAGGATTTTAAAAAATAGATTAGAGTAATAATTTGGGTAGTTTGGAAAAGTAGGAATAATTTTGTTATAAAGTGGGGACCATAGTTACTAAATAAGAAAATAAGACAATTATTTTGGGATGAACGAAAATGGAAAAACAAGACAACTCTTTTGGGACCGATGGAGTATTACATATTCACAGGAAAAAAATTGTAAAAGCTATATTACACTTACATTAATCGATAAATACTACTCTTTTTGTCTCACACAATTTATCCACATTTTTTATTTTCATCCGTTCCGTATAATATGTAATTTTTTTAAAAAATAATTATACACTTTAATTAATTTCGGTTGGCCTCACTTAATTTGTCAATTTACTAATATATATTTTTTAATTATTTATTAATAATATCATTTCTTGTATCTACAAGAAATTAGACAATTATGGTGCGTGAATATAATTTTATTTTTTAATTTACTTTTAAAAAAGTAAAATCAAAGAAATACTTTCAATTTGGAAACATTTTCGATGTATATTTTATCCTCTCACAAAAATTGATATTTAATATAGATATTATTTTTTATATTATCGATACAATTTTTCATATCTTACATAAAAAAATTTCTTCAAAACAAAACACTAAACAAACAAACATTAATGAAAAATCCAAGATTGTGTTTACTTGTGACTTGATTTTATTATTTCAATCTTTCTTTTTCCTCCGAAAATATCAAATCAAACACTCATTTTTTCTTTATTTTATTACACTAAAATCTAATTTCGCATTCAAAATATCACATCAAACAACTATTTCAATTAAACATTTTACTATTCAAAACCAAAATAAAAAATTATAAAATTTCTAAATTTATTAATTTTGAAATTTTGGGATGTGAATATAATAGGCCCATTAAAAAATAATCCGAAGCCCACATGGCTTCGGCCCAGTTCCTATATAGTCCATCTGCCTTAGGCCTGATCATACTTTGATGTTGAATGTGTTATTGGATCGGGCTGCAACTCAGGCCTTTTGTATTGTTTTTCTACCTTGGGCTCTATATTAATTTTGAAAAATAACAAATTTATATTATTAATTGTTCTTACTTTGGAAATCATTGTGATAAAATTATCTTATAAAAATAAAAATAAAATAAAATTATACTATAATTTATTTATTTCATTGTTCAAAGTGCACTTATCCTTAACATTTCACCTTTAAAACTAAAAATTCAAAACATAAAATGATAATATTTTTAATACTACTATAAATCAGCATAGTACTTATTGATTGTAAATTATTAATATTTAATCTAAAAGTTACTATTTAATTGAATACAAAATTATTATTTTATTGTAAATAATTATATAATTTAAATAAAATGGACAATAAGCAATATATATATACATCTAATTAAACTATTAATATACATATATACTAAAATTTATTAAATTAAATTAAAGTATAATAATAATAATAATAATAATAATAATATAATATCCCTATAGTTGAATAGTGACGTGAGTCGAGGAGAATGTGATACTCCAGAGTTTTGGACCATTGTTAGACTAATTTATGTGTATATGGATAAGCTGGTGTTAGGTCATTTGAAATTGAATAGAGGTTAGGTTAAGTAAATTGAATAAACTACTCGTATAAAATTTCCTTTTGGGAATCATATTGAAAGAACTTAGAGTGCGTGCTGATAAGACTCGTTGTTAACATGTAGGGTCAGTCTAATGTTAAAAATTTACAAATTTAAATCAGTAAATTATTGTGTTGATAATGTAAATTCTTATAATGATGTACTAATAATATGAACCGTCTTCATGTATACTAATAATGTGAACTGTTGTCACGCTATCAATACCCTAATATAATACTCTCTCCTGGTGGGGTTATCATTATCCTTTTTGTAGTGACGAATCTTCTCTCGGATATTTTGTCCGCGTTACTGTAAATACGAGAATTTAAGAGGGATATAATTAGTAAATAATTAAAAATATATTAGTGAAAATAATTATCTTATAATAAAAATAATTATAGATTAAGATTAAAATAATTGATTAGTATAATTAAAATTTAAAAAAAAAAATTATAAATTAAATTTTTAAAATTAAGATTAAAGTGTATAATTATTTTCTAAAAAAAAATGACAAAATAAGTGGGACGGACGAAAATGAAAATGTGAACATGAAAAGTAGGATGGGGGGAGTAATAATTATATATATATATACACAAAACAAATATTTATCTATTTGGATTGTATATTTTTTTTTATTGATTTATCTTTAAGTAGACAAAACACAATTTATACTATTCAGTATACAAAAAAATTTGTTTGGGGGTTTGGATTTTGAGTTGGGATTTGAATAGTAAAAATTTTGAATTTGAATAGTTGTATTATGTGATATAAATAGGTATTGATGTGATGTTTTGAATGTAAAATTAATTTTTAGTATAATATAAAAAATAAAAAACAGGTGATTGATTTGATGTTTTTGAGGGGAAAAAATTGGATGAAATTCTACAAACGAACACACCCTAAATTGAATCAGTAGAGTGTTGTGGGAAAAATTGCAAAAAATATTTTAAATGTATAATCACTTGTATTTATTTTGATGGTAAAATATATCTTTGAATGTTTACAAAAGTCTCTATTTATGTAATTTTTCCGCGCATGAAGTTCACACCACGCATGGTCACCCGCGATCACGTGCGATCAGATGATAGAATATATTCTACTAACGAGATAAATATAAGACAAAAGTGACAATTAAATTTACATATAAGATATTTTTTTGTAATTTTTTTCGTTGTGTCATCAATTTGCAGTGAAATGTTAAATTTTTAAATTGAGCATTTTTGCTGATAGTTAAATATTAATTATGTATAATTATACTAATTAATTATAGAAACTAAAATAATTAGTATTTACCCCTTCAGGTGCTGAAATCATTAATTCAGCAACTCACCAACTCTCATAATTATATACCAACAAACAAACATTTATTTGTTTGGTTTATATATATATATATATATATAAATATATATTTGAATTGTTTATTTAATTTTTTTATATAAATAACATTTTAATATGATATTTTAGTCGAATATTTTTTAGTTTAATTTCAAATACACACTTTTACTATTCAATTTGGTTCTTAATAAAAATCTATTATTTTTTTTCAACAATATTATTTTACTATTATAATTTTTTTATTTGGTTAGTGATTGTCTATAATATTTTATTAAAAAATAATGATAATTAGATAGTAAAATAAAAATAAAAATTGATGTTCATTTAAATTTTGATTTAAACAGTATTTTTTTTATAATATTTTATAAAATAAAATAATTAAGATACAAGAGAAGCATAATCAAGATCAAGATTTTTATTTTTTATTTCCAAGAATAAAGAAAGAACGAAGCCAAATATTGGGTGAGATAAATGAGTTTAGAGAAAATGAGAAAAAATAATTAAAAAAATTGATTCTATTACTCCAAATTTTGATGAAAAATAAAAGAAAATAAGTATATATGTATTCTTTTATTTCATAAAAAATATCATTCAATACACTCTTCAGTAAATATATTACTTTTTATAATAAAATATTATATATTAAAGATAATATTTTAATTAAAACTGAAACAACAAAAATCAAAACAAAATCAATCAAACAAGTGTGTTTGTTTGGGAGATTGGATTTAATTTTCACTGTTCATCCCATTTTTTTTCTCTCAAAAACATCAAATCAAACACTTATTTTCCATTTTTTATATTATATTAAAAATCAATTTTACATTCAAAACATCACATCAACACCTATTTATATCATCATACAACTATTTAAATTCAATATTTTTACTATTCAAATCTCAACTCAAAATGCAAACCCCCAAACAAATTCAAAATATTTTTAATATATATATATATAAATAATAATAATAATAATAATATATGAAAATTACTAAATTAAATCCATAGAGTGTTGTGTTGATATTTGAACTATGGTCACATTGTATTGATAGTGTAAGCCTTTATCAACTATACTGTAGTGTGGACTGTTATCATACCATCAACACTCATCTAATAATAATTATCTATGTATATAAACTAAACATTTATTTATTTGTTTGGTTTGTATTTTATTTTATTTTAAATACACGAGATACAAATAATACTCAATTAAGATAAAAAAATGTGAACTGTGGTACTGTCAACAATCTATTTAACACAACACTGATAATGTGAATACTTATCCATACAAAACAAATACATTTTTATCTGATTTGTATCAGCATCATACTTTACTATTTATTTGGTATTCAATAAAAATATATTATTTATCATCATAAATAATATAATATCAAAATACTATTTAAACAATATTTTTAAATGTTATAATTTTTTAATAGTAATTATTTATAATATTTTATAAAAAAAATCATTCATTATAAAAACATAATACTTCCTCCTCCCGAATTTTTGTAGTATATTAAAAAATACTACTATCTATGTCTCAAATAAATTGTGCATGTTAACATAGATATTGAAATTTAAGTAAAGTATAAACAAATAAAAATAGTAAAAAAAATAGTTTCAACTTAGACAAAAATAATAATAATAATAATTATATAGTAAAAAAATTTAAAATCAAATTCTTAAAAATGACAATTACGGCATAATTTAAATGTTCTTCTTTATGATTTCAAATAAATCTTCCTACTATTGTCATTTTTCAATACAATAATTATTCTCATAAAATATTATATCAAAATATTTTAAATAAAAAATCAAATAGAAACTCAATTTCATCAAAATTAAAAATACATATATTAATAACAATCTTATCTGTCAAAAGAGAAATGAAAAGGCAAAAAGTAAAAATAAAAATGCCAAATATCCGGTGGGGGTAAAAAAGGCAAATCTTATCGGTTTTTTTAACCAAATTTTTTCAAGTTTTATTATTTAAATTATTCATTTTTAAGAATAAATATATTTTTTTATCTGACAAAATATGTCATCAAATATTGTTTTAATCACAAACTCAAACAGTTTTTTTCAAACTCAGTAATAAAAATATACACACCCAAGTCTCAGTTGGTTGTGAATTTTGATTCAGTAATAATTGTCTGACTCATCCCGATTTTAATTACCACAGATTTCGACAAAAAAATTTGTTTGTTTTCTCACTCCTTGCTGGCCTTTCGGTGTTCCGTTATAAATATGGCCGTTCCTCCTCACTCAGACTCACGCTACTCATTTCATCAGCTTTCTCTCTTTCTCGCCGCGGAATTTCGATTTTTTGGTACGCATTTCCTGCGTTTCGGTTTCTGATATCTCTGTGGCTTTTGATTTTGTTTCTCTGCAGTTTCTTTTTTTGTTTGTTTGTTTATGGTTCGTTTTTGTGTGTGCTTCGTGTTTATGTTATGTATGGTTTGGTTTTTTTGGTGAGGTTGTTAATCGATTGGTGGTGTGGTTTTTTTTGGTTCGATTGTGATTGATGATTGTTTTTTGGTGTGGTTATGGAGATTGTAGATTGTAACTGTGCATTTGATTTTGTTTGGGGAGATTGCGAGGCGGAGGAGATGTTTTTGAGAGTTTTTTTGGAGGTGCATTGTAGTTATTAGTGATTTTGGTGGTTGGATTTTAGGGTTAGGGTTTGAGGATTGTGAAGCATAGATTGGATTTTCTCGAAAAAGCTTTTTCGATTGTATGGATGAACTTGATCTCTAGATGATGTTGGAGTGGAGAAAAGTATGTGTTTGTGTTGGTTTTCGAAGTTAGATTCGTTCGAGTTTGTATAGCTTTTAGTCTTTTTTTGTGTTTGTGTGTAGTTAATGTTGGAAATGGATCAAACACTCTGTATTTTTGCTTATCTTGTGTTTGAAAGATTGAGATTGAAAGAGATTTCATTTATTTATGTAGTTGGTGCTTCATAAAGTTTGATTGTTTGGTAATGCTATCTTTGTCGTATTGTCGGATGGGAGAAGTTAGATCATTTGTTGATGTATCTTTTTGGCGTAAACGATCTTGGGAAGTTAGATTCTTTATTAAAGTTATGTTTGTCGCATTATCGAATGGTAAAAGTTAGATCATTAGGTAATGTGTCCTTGTGGCGTTAACGATCTCAGGAAGTTAAGATTCTTCATTGATGTTATCTTTGTCGCGTTATCACCAACTGTTAAAGTTAGATTCTTTAGTAATGTTATCTTTGTCGCATTAGCGAATGGGAAGTTTAGATCAGTCCTTAATGTTGTTGTCTTTGTCGCATTGGCAAAATGTTTGACACATTGCCGGTTTTATTGTTTCTTTGTAGAGCAAGGGGATTAAGTTCTGCGATGGGGATCTCTGGTAACAAATCGGATGAAGAGTACGGGTACATTGGAGACAAAGGAGATATAGGATTCATCGACATTGATCACTGCAGATCTGTTTGCCAATACAACCCCGAAACCGAGAGTGACATTGTCATTATATCCGTTCCATTTCCTTTGGTCGATGGAAAACCTCAATCCGGTTTTGTTGGGAAAACCATTTTCAATCCCGTAACTATAAAGAACATCCACACCGATTATGTGGAGCTGTGGTCAGTCAGTATTTATGATTCTAAGCCGGAGAATACATTCACATTGTCTATTCTGAAGCCTCCGACAGCCGATTCTGATGAGGATTACATCCAAGATTTCATGGAATCGTTTACCTTGGAGGACAGAGTGCTGCCGGCTGAGGACACCTTGACGATTTGGGTGTCGTGCAAGCCAAAGGAAATTGGCCTACACTCAGCTGCTGTGCATTTTAGCGTTGGAAACGAGGTGATCGAAAGGCTGGTTTTTGTGCTGGCGGAAGACAACATTTCCAGGTCTTTGGCGTCGGAAAGACCCTTCCAAAGGATAAGGGGAAAGAAACAAGATCTGGTGAATGTAAGCAATCGAAACGCAGCATTTGTTGTGGGGCGACGCCCCGCCAGTGCTTTTCTCCGGCCATTCAGGCGGAGGATAGGGGACTATCCTATAGCAGATGACATCCGGGATGTGTTGATGAGCCGGGTGATTCCAGAAGCAGTCCGCGACGGATTGTGTGAGACAAACTATGGCATGTTCTTCAGTACTTTGATAGCTATGGAAGAGATTAAGTTGGAGGTTAGTGTGGTTTCCTTACAAGATGTATTCTCTTTACTCTCCGGTGTCGATCCCATTTAATTCGATTACGATGTTTTTGTTCAGGACGACATGCATGCATATGACATGGAGTGTGTGGCCCTAAGGGGAAGGAGAAACCAGTTTTTGTCACTCGAAGTTCCAGGATTGGCTGAGAAGCGACCTTCGCTTGTTAGCGGGGACTTTATATTTGTGAAGCTTGCGACTGAGATCGATACTACTAAACCGCCATACCAGGTATGGTTAAAATCTTAAAACTCTTATCTATTGCATTTGCATCTTTGTATCGAAAAAATGTGTAGATTATACCGTTTTATGATGAATGCAGGGATACATTCACCGGGTAGAGGCTGAGGAGATTTTCTTGAAGTTTAACCAAGATCTTCACGTAAAACACAGAGAAGGTAATCTGTACAACGTACAGTTCTCTTACAATCGGACCGGCATGCGTCGCCTGTACCAGGCGATTGAAGCTGCCGAGCAGTTGAACAGAAGCTTCCTATTTCCATCCTCATCTTCGACAATGAGGATACAGAGATCGGGGGAATTGGTTCCGAAGTCTAAGGTTCTGAACGAGGACCAGAAGGCTTGTGTCGAGACGATACTTTCCTGCAGAGGAGGGTACCCGTATCTAATTCATGGTCCGCCAGGCACTGGCAAGACAATGACTCTTATCGAAGCAATTCTGCAGATATACACAACAAGAAGCGATGCTCGGATTCTAGTCTGCGCGCCATCAAACAGCGCAGCTGATCACATTCTGGAACGCCTCATATATCGATCGTCTGTAGAGATTCAACCGAATGACATCTTTAGGCTGAATGCTTTCACGCGTGCTGTTGAGGACGTCGATCCTAATGTCCTGGAGTTTTGCTCGCTGGAAGACGGCCTTTTCAAGTGTCCACCGAACTGGGATCTTATCCAGTTTAGAATTATCGTGTCGACCTACACAAGTGCTTCACTTCTATACGCCGAAGGAGTTAAGAGGGGCCATTTCTCGTATTTCTTTTTAGACGAAGCAGGGCAAGCTTCGGAGCCGGAAACAATGGTTCCCATAGCTCAGTTTTATTCGAGGGAATCTGTCATTGTTCTTGCCGGGGATCCCATGCAGCTCGGCCCTGTAGTTTTCTCCAGGGATGCTGAAACCCATGGACTGGGAACCTCTTACATGGAGAGACTCTTTGACTGTGCACCGTACGGTAATGGGGACAAAACATTTATAACCAAATTGGTTAGGAATTACCGTACACACGAGGCAATTCTGCGACTGCCTTCCGAGTTGTTCTATGAGGGGGAGTTGATCCCATGCAAAGAAGAGAATGCAGCTGACTATGCTCAACCCTGGGAAGAACTAGTTACGAACAAGAACTTTCCCTTGCTTTTTATCGGAATTCAGGGCTGTGATGAAAGGGAAGGAAGTAATCCTTCTTGGTTTAACAGAATTGAGGTGAGCAAAGTGATCGATGTAATCGCATCTCTGACCGAGAAAGGGGTGAGGGAGGAAGATATTGGGGTCATTACTCCTTATAGGCAGCAGGTAAGCAAAATAAGAGGTGCACTAGACAATCTTGATATTGCTGACATTAAGGTTGGAAGTGTGGAACAGTTCCAAGGACAGGAGAGGGAGGTTATAATTATATCTACTGTACGTTCGACGGTAAGACATAATGAATTCGACAAGCTTCATTATCTGGGGTTCCTGAACAACCCGAGGAGATTCAATGTTTCTGTTACCCGGGCTAAATCTATGCTCATAGTTATTGGTAATCCACACATCCTCTGCAAGGTATGGTTGAGTTTCTTTCAGTAATTGACATATTCCTAAACTCATCACTGATATATATATATATATATATATTGTAAAACCCAAAGCTAATGCCATTGAGTTTATTCTTCTTTCCAATGTTTATATTATTTGTGTCAGGACCCTAACTGGAATGAACTCTTATGGTACTGTGTGGACAATAACTCCTATAAGGGCTGTTTTCTTCCCGAACGAGAAGTGGTCCCGAGAATCCCTATTGTTTCTGGACGAGAGAGACGAGATGCAGCAAGGAATGAAAGCCAGCAGCCTACAGATACAGCATTGGATCAAGGAGGTCAGTGGGAACCGTATGAATATAAACCAGATGAAGGTAATTGGGTTGGAGATCAAGAATATCAGTGCACACATCCGGCAGATAACTGGGGTGGCAATCAAAAAGATCAGTGGGAGATTCCGGCAGATAACTGGGGTGGCAATCAAGAAGGAGATCAGTGGGAGATTCCGGCAGATAACTGGGGTGGCGATCAGAAAGAAGATCAGTGGCAGCCTCCTGCAGATAACTGGGGTGGAAATCAAGAAGGAGATCAGTGGGCGCCTCCGGATAACTGGGGTGGCGAAGGCTCAAAATATGATTCAAAGTCATATGCAGATAACTGGGGTGGAAATCAAGAAGGAGATCAGTCTGTGGCTCCGGATAACTGGGGTGGCGAAGGCTCAAAATATGATTCGAAGTCACATGCAGATAACTGGGGTGAGCATTGGACAGATTCTAAAGATGATGGGAAGTCATATGCAGGTGGTGGTAATTGGGATGATAACTGGAGTCACGATAATCAGAAGCCATATGCTGCTGATAACTGGGGTGGAAATCAAGAAGGAGATCAGTGGGCGCCTCCGGATAACTGGGGTGGCAAAGGCTCAAAATATGATTCGAAGTCATATGCAGATAACTGGGGTGGAAATCAAGAAGGAGATCAGTGGGCGCCTCCGGATAACTGGGGTGGCAAAGGATCAAAATATGATTCGAAGTCATATGCAGCTAACTGGGGTGAGCATTGGAAAGATTCTCAAGATGATGGGAAGTCATATGCAGGTGGTGGTAATTGGGATGATAACTGGAGTCATGATAATCAGAAGCCATATGCTGCCGATAATTGGAGCAGCAGGGAGTGGAGTGGCTCCCAGTATGATCAAAAGCCATATGTCAATAATTGGGGCTCAGAATATAGTTACCAAGATTCTTGGAATCCACCTCCAAATAATTGGGGTGGGAGAGATGGTAACAGGGGTAGGAGAGGAAGAAGCAGTTATGGTGATAACTGGGGCAGGAGGGGCAGACGAAACTATGGTGAAAACAGGGGCAGGAGAGGAAGAAATGGTTATGGAGATACCCGGAGCAGGAGAGGAAGAAGTGGTTGGAAAGATTCCGGGAAGTCATATGAAGATAATTGGGGCGGTGGATGGAATGGTTCAAAAGACACTGGTAAGAAATACACTGATAAACGGGTTGAGGAAGGGCACCGGTCAAAAGCTAATGTGAGGCCAGATGAAGATAATTGGGGTGGGGGGTAGTGGCTCCAAAGATGATTGGGGGTATAGATGGGTCGAGCGAAGAAATCCTTCAATTCCGGGTCCTAGGAATGGCAACTCTAAAGCATATTGTCCTAAGGATGATCGTGTCCCCAGAAGAAAGTAGAGAGTCCTGATGGTGTTCTAAGGGCTTTTGCAGCAAAACCAGGTGAGATTGTTGGCTATACAACGTTTTGGACTTAAAGTCCGGTATTTAATGTTTTAGTTACAAGACTATATATGTTTGGTATTGTTTTTTCGATATTCTGGATTTTGGGATGTTATCTTCTACTGTGAAATTTATGAAAACTATATGAATTGCCAATGGTTTTATTCATGCTATGTTATTCTCCCTATGCTGCATATTGATTCGACTAAAAATCTAGACAAGTAGAGATGCAGAATCTTAGGATCCTAATTATGCAGGACTATAGGAGACTTAGCTGGTATAGAAATGAAATTGTAAAGAGGATAATTCGGGAACTCACACCGAGTCTGTATGTCTGTTCTGTAGCCTGTGAATCTGCAGTTGTGAATGTTGGTAGTTCTTTCTGTGGTTCTTGTGTTGGGCTGCTGCTTGGTCCCTGAGGTGAACTCGCCGGAGAAGATGGGGGCCTGTAGGCACCTGTTGACGACGTAATTTTAGATTTGTAACTACTTACTGCAGATTAACCTTAGCTAAATTAGATGACAATCTTGAAGGCTTAAAGCGATAGATAAAAACAGTTAAATCATAGCTGCATCATTATGGGGGGAGATGACTGTAAAAGAAATATTGTTACCAGAGTAGTGAGGCATTGTGCTGCTGGGGCCTGTTAAATGAGTTTGCACTTAGTTAATACACAGGATTTTATTCCAGTATTTTGGAAGATGGAGAATCAAGTAGCGAAAGAGGAGATTACCGGTTATGCTTTGTAGCGGTGGCAAGGCAGCCGGTCCTGACAATCCATCCATCGGAAAATAAAAGATGTTTAGGTAAGTGCAATTAGATTTATCGAACAATTGAGCCGAAGAAATAATTGGTAATAAACAACACTTTTATGAACTTTGATTAATAAACTGAATTTTCTGGTTAGCTAGAACGAGAGAATTTGAAAGATATGGTTAATTGAGGATTTGTTCCATTCAGCCAAGTTTTAGCCAGATTAAGAAATACACATTTATGTATATAGGAGTTTTTTCATTTGATCTTACTCACCATTTTTGGCATGATTGCAATGTTGATGTGAAAGAATCAACTTGAAATTTTCGAATTAACGAACACTGTGCCCTAGGAATATCAGTTCCACTAATATGATGAGCTCAACAGATGACTATCAAGATGAGTTCATATCTTTTTGTTTTTTGCAGTATTTTTGGCAGAAAGCTTGATTTATCAACGAATCAATATTTCAGCTAGATTTCCAAACTAAAATTTGGCAATTTCATTATAGTAGCAATTAACATTCAAAATTTATTTAATCAGTTCACGGAAATTACTCTGAGAAATTGAACATGCGAAAATGAATGAAAACACAACGTGACGAGGATGAGTTCATATCTTTTTGTTTTTTTGCAGTATTTTTGGCAGAAAGCTTGATTTATCAACGAATCAATATTTCAGCTAGATTTCTAAACTAAAATTTGGCAACTTCATTACAGTACAATTAACATCCAAAATTTACTGAATCAGTTCACGGAAATTACTCTGAAAAATCGAACATGCGAAAATGAATGAAAGCACAACGTGATAACCATATATCTATGTATTGAGAAATATACAGTAATATAGATGTATACAAAGGCAAACTCGAGTAGAATTTGCTTCGAAGGTTAATAATCCTCAATCTCCACACACAAAAACATGAATTATCGCATCGAAGTACAGAGTTTAAGGCGAACCTGAACATACTGCTTCGAGAGTGAAATTATCGCCGGTTCCATCACTCCGCGGGCAAACGGTGGGGAGAGAAAGGAGCTTGGTCTGATTGAGTGGAAATCCGAGCACATTAGGTCGTCGGATGAAGTAGCAGAGACAGATTGCAGAACCGTTCCCCAAGGCGGCGGAGATGTCGTCGCAGCACTGCGGCGGAGGCGAGTCGGTTAGGTTATTGGGGGAGTCTGCAACGTAGGGTAGACAGAGTGAGAAGGCGACGAGCTCGTCGGAGCAGGCGGCGGTTGAGTGCGCAGGTGTCTGCGCCACGGCGGCGATGGAGATCCGGCGGAGGAGGAAGAAGAAGAGAAGGAAGATCTGAAGAGCATATTTCATGGCGGTTACTGTTACTCCGCTCGGAAGTGAAAGTAAATAATGGCGGGGAATTCTGGAAATATGAATTTTGAGGAATTTACCATAATACCCTTCCATCAATTTCCTTCTAAAGAAAGGGCGCATTTGAATATTTTTCTATTTTAAACACATTTAGTGCTATTTCTATATCGATATTTGTATTGAAATTTTATTATATATTTTTTAGATATTATATTAAAAGTTTACTTTTTATTTAAAAAATAATTCAAAACTCAAGCAACAAAGTTATTTTCAAAGAAAAGAATATACTCTATTGGTGATTTTTATATGGTACGGATTTGATATTTATTTAAAGAAAAAAAATATACTCTATCAATAAATTTTTTAGTTTGGTTTTAATTTGAAGTTGGTTTGATTTGTTTTTAAACACACATAGATACTATTCAGTTCTTACGAGTTATGGATAAAAATATATTATATTTTTACAAATTATCACATCAAAATATTATTTAAATAAAAATTCTAATTTTAAATAAAACCCAAACAATTTTTATTTTTTTTTTTTGTGAATTTAGTTAAAATAGTATTTTAATGTGATATTTTACGAGAAATAATGTATTTTATAGGTAACATTACAAATTGAATAATATTGATTTGTATTTGAAACACAACTCAAACACTTTCTAATTTAATTTTTTTAAGAAAATTTGCATTTATATGTTAATTATGATGATTTTATAAATTGTATTTAAAAAGATTAAAAGAGAAAAAGAAAAAAAAAAAAAAAAGTGTGTCTACTTGGAAGATTTTGCATTCTACCGTTTACTATATATTTTTTTTCATTTCAAAATATCAAATATCTATTTTTTATTTTTTTAAATTATATTAAAAATTAATTTTGCATTCAAAATACTATATCAACGATATATTTATAAATAATTCAATTATTCAAATTCAAATTCAAATTTTTAGAAGTCAAAATCAAAACCTTCAACCAATCGTACCCAAAAAAAAGTTGTGTAACAAAAATTTTGAAACATTTTTAATTAGGAATAATTAATAGAATATGTATGTTGGCTTTATTTTATGGATAAATTATATAACACTTCCTTATATTTTAGTAAAAATACACAAAACACCATGTGTTTTATTTATTTATTATGTGAAACCCCCTTGTGTTAATGTAAAATTTGCACGAAACGCTTCATTGTTCAAAATTGATATTTGGTTCTAAATAAAGACCTAAATTATGCAAGTTTTATAAAAATAAAAAATGTAAAATATCTTAAATAATTTCTTTTGAATAAAATAAATAAATAAATAAATAATTGATCAATAATTTATTTTTACAATTTTTGTAAAAATCAGATGACAATTTGTCTTAAAAAACTATAAAATGAAGAATTATTTATTTATTATTTGTTTGTTTTATGCAAAAAAATTATTTAACATATTTTATATTTTTTATTTATATAAAATTTGCGTAATTTAGGTCTTTATTTAGACTCCGAATATCACAAGGGGGTGTTTCATGCAAATTTTACATTAACACTAGGGAGTTTCACGCAATAAATAAAACATAAAATATTTTGTAAATTTTTACTAAAATACAAAGGAATGTTATATAATTTACTCTTATTTTATTTATAATTTTCTTTGTCACTATTTTTTCACTATTCAATTATCATGAATTTTTTTTCTTTTTTTTTTTGAAAAAAACATTAGATTTTATAAAATATATCATCAAAATATTTTAAAATTCAAATTCAAAATACAGAAATTATATATATATATATATATAAAAACTCATCCCACATATCATTTGTCTAATGATATATAGATTTAAATAATTTTAATTTCAAAATAAAAATTATAAAAATAAAATAATATTAATCACTCAATCATCTTAGCACATGTGTTGCTTAACTTTGACAATTTAGTATCAATGGTGAATTTCAACAAATTCACTTAATAAAATTTTAAAAATAAATATAAGCCATAATAATATTTTTCTATTTTTACTTAACAGAAGTTGTTTGGAGGATTTGATTTAAATTCAACTATTTATCCAAAAAATTTCCTCCAAAAACATCAAATCAAACAAACTTTTTTTTTTATATATATATATTATCCTAAAAATCAATTTTACATTCAAAACATCACGTCAACATCTATTTATATCAGATCATACAACTATTCAAATTTAAAATTTTTACTATTCAAATCTCAATCCAAAATCCAAATCCGAGACAAACACACCCAAAAAGTAAAAATATGTAGCATATATTAGGTGAACAGGTAAAGTATATTAATAGTAGGGGTAAAACTTAATAAAGCTAAAAATGGATAAATATGCATATTAAAACCAACTGTTTTACCCTATTTATTTATTAATTAATTATTTGAAGGATTTGGAAGCTCAACAACCTCAACTAACTTAAAGATTAGCAAGAAACAATAAAGTTTATTATTTTAGAGTTTTTTTTTTTTTTTATTCATTTTGATTTTCAGTTTTAATAATACTAATTTAAACATAATGGGTGTGCTTGTTATGTAAATTGTTTGAAGGAATTTTTTTTTTTTATATGAAACATAGATAATTGTGTATCTAATACAAAAAATAATAAATGTGTATAATGTATTAACTTTTTTTAGAAATGTGTATTGTTTTTACAAAACTACACCATTCAAATTTATATGTATTTTACAAAATATATCATATTTGTTTGCAAAAATCGTCATTTCTGTCATAAGGCTGTGCGAGAGCGGTTGTATGAATATCATGCTCGGCCAAATGACAAAAATGACGATTTTTGCAAACACATAGAATATATTTTTATTAGCGTAATAAATAAATAACAAAAGTGACAATCGAATATACATTAATGATATTTTTTGCAATTTTCTAGGTCAAATAAAAGCTTGTGCTATGGGTTTTTTTTTTCTTTTTTAAATTGATGTTTTAGAGAACTATGTCAAGTGCTATATACTCTATACAAGTATATATGGTTAGGGATGTCATAGCATACCGTACCGAAAATACCGGTCGATATCGATACCGTACCGAACTTTTCGGTATGACTAAACTATATACCGGTACCATACCGAAAGTTTCAATATACTGAATTTCGGTATACCAAAATTTTCGGTACGGTACTGGTATATACCGTTTATATCGAAAATTTCAATTTCGGTACGATACCGGTATATACCGCTTATACCGAAAATTTTGATTTCGGTAGATACTGGTGTATACCGATTATACTAAAAATATGATTTTAAATTTCAAAATAATTAAAAAAATTAATAAATATCACTATTCTCCAAAAAAAAAAAAATAGTATGAGAAAACCAATAAATTTTCAATAGTTTACATATTTTTTGTTATGATTTTAAAAAAATATTAATAATTAAATTATTTAATAAAAATAATATCGGTACGGTATCATACCGAAATACCGAATTTTTCAAAAATTCATACTGATATCATACCGAAATTTGGTATTTTCGACACGATACGGTATGATAAGTCCGTATTTTGGTATGTTCGGTAAATTTATCCATCTCTATATATGGTGCTCTATGTAGTATATATCATACTACTTTCATTAGGCTTTTAAATGTCTCATTTATTTTTTTATGTTGATATTTGAATATTAATTATTATATGTAAACATAAGTATAAATCAAAGAAAAATAACAAAAATACTTCTATTAATTTTATTAGTGTCTTATAAAAATATTTTTAGTATTAAATATAATAATATAAAAGTTAAATGAGACTTTTAAAGTTGACAAAGTATTTTATACGTGTGTAATTGTATATTTGAATGGACTATAATTTTGTGTCTAATAGCTTGAGAATAAATTTAAATAATAAAAAGAGTAGTATAAGATATATATATATATATATATATAATAATCAGATGATTGCATCGTAAACAAAACAAAAATATAATTACAAAAGACTATGAAACAAATATTCTGATAATGTTTAACCAAATAATAAATAATACAGCAAACAAGAAAATCATCATCATCATCATCATCACATTTCCATGCAAATGCAATCAATCATCACTCACCTACACTATAAACACCCCAAAGAATTTTTCACTGACAAAGACAAACATACATCACACATTATATTTTTTTAATAAAATAAAATAAAAAATAAAGAAAGAAGAAGAAGAAGAGAGTTCAGCAGCAGCAGCAGCAGCAGCAGCTAATAATAGAATTTGAGAGCAGCAGCAACGAGCGCAGCAGCAAGATGCAACGTCGAAAGGCCAGCCGAAGGATGAGCTGCCGATGGCGTCGCTCCTGCCCTGCTTCCAGTGTTGCCGCTGCCGCTGCTGGTGGTTGTAGCCGGTGGAGTGAGACTTGGAGGTGCCTCGGCTCCTGGGGTTGAGGGCGACGCCGGGGACACTGCTTCGGGTGGAGATAGCCCTGCAAAAAGTTAGTCCTTCTTGTTAAATGCCTGGTTCTATTAAATCTACTCGAGAGATTTTGGGTGTGTTTGTTTGAAGGATTTTGGTGGATTTCCACTATTCATCCAATTTTTTTCCCCCAAAAACATCAAATCAAACACCTATTTTTCATTTTTTATATTATACTAAAAATTAATTTTACATTCAAAACATCACATCAAACCCTATTTATATCATATCGTACAACTATTCAAATTCAAAATTTTTATTATTCAAATCCCAACTCAAAATCCAAACCCCCAAACAAACACACATATTTTGTTACTATTCTTTAAATTAAATCGTTATTATTTGAATATATCATACTTCCTACGTCACATAAATATAGTCTTAATTGGGTTGGACACGAGATTTAAGGATATTGATATTATATTGGTAGTCGGTAAAAAATATGAACAATAGACCTTTTTGTCCTTATGAGTGTATTAGTGTAAAAAGTAAGGGCAATTGTGTAATAAAAAAAAAATGGATAGTTTTACAGTGATATGATTACTTATGGAAATAAGACTATTATTTTGGGACCGACAAAAATAGTAAACAAAACTATTATATTTGGACAGAGAGAGTATTAAATAGTCATTATCTGAATCTGTCGTGTTTGTATCATGTTCGTTTATAAGTCATGATTTCATTATTAATAATATATATCTTTAAAATTCTCCAAAATATAACACAAAAGGGTGTGTTTGTTTGAGGTTTGAATTTTGGATTGGGATTTGAATAGTAAAAAATTTGAATTTGAATAATTGTATGATGTGATATTTTGAATGTAAATTTGATTTTTAATATAATATAAAAAATAAAAAATATGTGTTCAATTTGATGTTTTTGGGAGAAAAATTTGTGTGAATAGTATAAATTCATACAAATCCTTCAAACAAACACAAGCTTAAAGTCAAAAGTGGGTCTCTCAATGGAGTTAGAATCATGTTTCCGATTCTAACTATGTTAAAGAGCCTGTTTTCGACTTTAACGGTGTCGAAAACTCTATTTTCGATTCTAACTCAGTTGGGAATCTTATTTCCAACTTTAATTCGTTTGAGAGCTTTCTTCCGAATCTATCAATGATAAAAGTCTTGTTTCTGACTCTAATTTTGTTGAATATCGAAAATCTCTCGGAAAAATTCATAGAGATGATGACGGAAGGATCGAACGATACCTGTAGCACTAGGAGATAGAGCTGCGCTCGGAGAAAGCGAAGGTACATTTGCCTCGGGCGCTGTTGAAATAAATATATCATGAATTAAATAGCTCATATGCATCGAATCAAAGATATATACCAACAATAAGGTTTTAACGTACCGGGAGCTAAAGCTGGAGCAGGAACAGGAGCGCCGGCAACTACAGTTTTGCAAGAAAAGACGTAAGTAGAGAATTACGAGCAAAAGAATTTCAAGTAAAAAGAGTCGGATTATCTTACCTTTACACTGGAGGGGCACGCCGGGCATGTTGCAGGCGCGAGGCAGGGAAATGGCCTGAGTTTGATTAATCGGGATCTGAAAAGGAATGCTGCCGGTGGCAATGAGGCAGAGGCAATCCTTTCCACTGTTCATAAGTGTCTTTAGAGAATCACAGCAGGCAGCACTTGGGGCGGCGCTGGAATTGCCGCCGCTGCTGGTGTTAGTGGTGGTGAAGTTTACGCACGGCATGAAGGCTGTGATCATGGAAGGTGTGCAAGGTGGAGTCGTCTGCCCTGAAACAGGGGAGAAAGCTGTGATCATAAAGATAGATAGAGCTAAGATCAAGAACTTGAAGGCCATGGCTATGGGGTCGTGTTTAGGTGATTTTGTGGCGAGTTTTCGGAGGGTTTTGAGGATGATGATGAGTAGAAATCGAATGAGGGGAATTTATAGTTGAGGGGTTATGGATATGGACAATTTCGGGAGGTTGGGTGGATGTAGGGTGGGTTATGTGGCTTAACTACTTTTAACTAATCTATTTGACTTAAGGACTTCATCATTGTCCTATTGGCTTCTAATCAAGCTTTAAAATAGGTTATTTAAAGTCGGTTTTGGTTTTGAACTATTCATCGAACCTTTTCTCTTCAGAAACGTCAAATCAAAAAACTATTTTTCATTTAATATATTACTAAAGTAAATCAATATTCCAAAAGCATCGTATCAAAAAAACATATTTATATCACAACAGCTATTTTAGTTCTATAGAAAGAGGCTTAGCTTAATATATTGCAAATTTGTGTCCCACAAGGCTATTGTAGTTGAACAAACACTAATTTCATGTAACGAACAAATCTGAAGCAGATAATCAATTCTTGAATAATAAACCATTACCTTGAGTGAGAGATTTCTCTTTTCTAACATTGCATCGTAGATTGCAAGAATCTGTGTTGACGAAACTCGGGCTTTAAACTTGCCAAGAACCTGCAGTATCCAAAATCACTTTGGTATAAGTATCGTAATCATTCAAAAAAAAACAGAGTTTACTCATCCCAATTACTCATTTTACAGCAATCTCTTCAACCAACAACGTCGTTGTCACTGGACATTTCAACCGATGTAATGACATTACATCGGCCATGGATTACTCACAAGCATTGATCATCAAGATTTCAAGAACTCATCAGCATCACTGCACATTAAACTGAACTAGGTATAAATGATATAAAGAGCATTAACTAATAGAAATTATCAAGGTAAGTTAAAAGGGACACCGCTAATTATCATAGTAAAAAGGCGCAGCTATACTGTCATAAGAAGCAAACTTTTGCGATTCCAAATATTAAGTAGATGGTAAATTCTTTCAGAAAGCTATGGTCTTCCATCACAGAGAGCATTCAAATATATATATTGGTACCAGTCTACTATAAGCAGCATAATCTACAAAGCCTGCTTTTCAATTAAGGAGCAAAATGCAGTCCTCGATATCACATTCTTAGGACTGTACAGAATACAGGTGGTTGACCCATAAAACAAAATCATATAAATTAAAGGCTAATGCAAAATATTAACGCACATCCGTTTGACAAAGTTGCAGATGGCATCCAATACATACGAGACACGTTCTTCTACCTTCTATATAAACAATTGATACGACTGTTGAGTATTTCTAGCACAAAGAAGTGTAATGTTAGACAAGTGGATGCATTCAAAGAGGAATCACATCAGCTGATCGAATTTAAAGTCATTCATCAGGAAATCAGAACTAAAGCTCAGTTTTGCACCATGCAAGCACTGCAAGATAAACATAAATAGCTGCAGCTAATCATTCACCTTTGCATTTGGAATCTGCAATACAACTAACCTGATATTTTCCTGAAGAAAGCACTTAAATTCTTCCAAATCAGACTCATGTACAGATCCATGAATGTTAGGGGCACATTGTTGTTACAGTCTTCCAAAGCAGCATGCTCCATTAAGCAGTTTTGCTCGAAGCAAGATAAAAATATATACATATCATAAAATTCTAATTAGAGAAGCCAATACAGATCATACACCTTTTAACACAATTCAAAAAGTCGAATACACAAATAACAAAAATATGTAGTAATGGGCACCACATTGAGGGTCTGTCGTTGCATCTGGAATTGGTAACCATTAAGGTACACATTATGCTAAACTTTGTAGATCAACGTGATAACTCAAAACATGGGAACAAACCTTCATCATAGCATGCTATGTAAAATGGGGATATGAAATTAATAGCCAATCTTTATAGGGAGTCAACATCGCACCAGAGTTAACCATGGCAAATACACTAAAAAGTCAAACCCCTAACAAATCATTTAATATCATTTCCTAAAAGGCTTAAAGAGCACGGCAAGCATGCCCATCTCCAGAGATTAGTGTAATATTGTTAACTCCAATGAGAAATAACTACGGTAAGATGGTCAATCTACAAACTGAACACCTTTTGCTGCAAACGGCTTTTCACAAATGCTTGAGAAAAACCATCCATGTCGATCAAGTTATTAACCATCTTCACTGACTTCTAGTTCCATGTTCCGCACCTACGGGCACCATACTACTGTTCAATCCACCTGGATAAAAGTAAATTTCAGTATCAGAATGTAAATGAACTTGCTTCTTTAATACAACGGAAGTATCTTCGATGAAATACTACTCGCTGCCTCATATTCATTGATAATGACAAAAAACAGAAGTAACAGCCTGACGGACAGGACAGCAAGATATACATACATCCAGGAGAAGAATCCAATACACATTACAGGCATACATCTTATGTGCAGTTGTGCACTAGCCAGATATGCTAATCCCCCAGTTCCATTTGTTCAGAATCAAATTACACAACTTGTAATAATTAAGATCGATAATATCATGTAATTTCATTTCACAGAAATTTGATGAAAAAGACAGCAATTATTATTCTTGCTTAGAATGTCGGATTAACAAAGTGGTGGTACAATGAATCTTAAATCAATGTTTTTGATCTGCACATCAATGGGCTATCAATGCAGCTTGCCATTTAGGGCAAGCACAAGTTCCAGAAATATTGGAACATATAAATACTTTATCCATGGGTAAATACATATACCAAGTCAAATTGGAAAAACCATTCATAGTTTGCTTGCTAAACAAAAAATGTCAACCATATTAACCAACATATTTTCAAACAAGATGAACTTATAACAATGTGTCGAGACCAGATAATCGTGTCCAGAAAAATTGGACTCACCCTAACTAGATCTGGACCGCATAAATTGCTCTAGCTTATCCCACACCTCAAGAGCAGCTGCTCGGTCCTGGTGTCGCTTATGTTTGCTGATCTGCACAAGTAGAATTATGACCAAGGGCAAAACCATACGAGTTATGAATGAAGAACATATGCTTTGAAGTTGTAAAACTGACTGAAATTATCTTGACATTCCACTGCATCACAGTTTTTGCAGATTCCAAGCTGGCATCCTCGAAACGGACATAAAATCCAACAACTGCCATATATCCAAAAACATGTAAATTATACAGGATTCCATAATTCACATGTAGTGTATAATTTCTACAAACATTCCATCATTCACAGGAAAAGGGGCATCAACTATAGCATAAAAAGAACAGAAAACTAAGCCAATTAAACAAGAAAACAAGCTTAAACCAAGATACAGTTTAAAGCCCTGGTTACAAACTCACCTTTATTAAAGATTTCAAGATGATCTTTAAAGGGCCAATCCTTGAACTGCCAATCCTTCCCAAGAACAAACACTGCAACGACACGATCCCAATCATCCCTTTTCAGTGAAGATGGCTTGTCTCTCACCTCATAAGCCGTCACCACACGGTCCCGACTAAACTTCTTCTGCACAGTCACACACTCAGGCTTCCCCCCTTTCATCTGCTTCATCTTCTCCTCTGTTGGAATAAACACACCATCCTCCAAAAACTCCTTCACATTGTACATTGTTATCAGAGTAGACAATGCACTCGGAACCAATATAATAGGCACACCTTCCCCAATTTTCCGCATTTTGGTGGCCTCCTCACCACCAAATCCTCTGCTTTCGATTCGATTCTTAGCCACTATGTTGTCTTTCCTCTGCAAGGCTTCTGTTCTCTGCCTCTCCTCATCCCTCTTTGTAGCTGCTGTCAAAGCACTGTAAAAATCCCTCTTCTTCGACACCAGCATTGCCTCCCTATCCTTAATCGGCCTCTCCCTAACCCTAATGAGCTCAGTTAGGTTATCCACACTCTCCAAACCTGTACCGTCACTCGCGTCTTGCTTTACATTCAAATCTAAATTTGTCACCTGAGAACTATGGAAATCCACCGGAACAATCGAATCGGAGGATTGGACCTTCCCGGTTAGGTAATCGAGCAGAGGCTTTCGATCGGGGAGAGTCACCGCGGGGATGCGGCGAGCACGGGCGTCTTGAATGTACTCCGTGTGCTTGAGGTGCTGATTCGTGATGAAGTGAACCAAGGTTTCCAGCGAGTAGCGGCGCGTCTGCTGCACGTTCTTCGAACGATACGCTGTCTCCACCGCGGCGGGGAAGGAATAGTCGGCGCCGAAGCGAAATTCATCCTTCACTCGAACGATTTTGTCGAGAAGATTACCAATCGTGTAGTCGCGGAGGAGAGTTAACGGGTCCATCGGAAATCCGCGCCGGCGCGGCGGCGGAGAGGCGGAGCAGTCACTGTTTTGAGCGGAGGCGTCGTAGAGAAAATCTACTTTGACTTTTGCATTTTAACTTTCTTTATTATAAATAATAATCTCAAAAATTAAAAAAAAGATGGGAAAATAGTTGAGTGAAAAAAACACAGACGATTTTGTTTTTTTATCTAAACTTTTTCAATCCATTTTTCTATGTGTGTTCGTTTGTAGGATTGAGACAAAATTTTACTATTCATTCCAAATTTTTACTCCAAAAATATCAAATCAAACACCTATTTTTTAATTTTTATATTATATTAAAAATCAATTTTATATTCAAAACATCACATCTAACACCTATTTATATCACATCTTACAACTATTAAAATTCAAAATTTTTATTATTCAAATCCGAACTGAAAATCCAAACCCCCAAACAAACACACCTCGCACACTTTGATTTTATAAAGGTGTGTGTTAGTTGAATTTGAATAGTTGTTTGATCAGGAGTTGATGTAATATAAATTTGTAGTACTCCCTTCGTCCCATAAATATAGTTTTAATTGGATTGGACACGAAATTTAAAAAATATTGATATTATATTGGTAGTAGGTAAAAAGTATAGATAAAAGACTTTTTGTTTTTGTGAGTGTATAAGTGTAAAAATTAGTGTCATAGAAAAAATGAGAAAATATGATTAATTTTATAGTGATATGGTTATTTATGTAAACAAGACTATTGTATTGAAACGAAGATAATATAATATTAAAAAAAAATTGTTTAATATGATTTTTTTTTTCTTTTAAAAAAATATGAATAATAAAATATGTGTTAAAATTCACAAACAACTTAAGACTCCCCCACAAAATTAAGACTCCTTTAGTCTCGAATTCAAGCATCCATTTGTTTTTACATTATTATTTTTTAATATTAATATTATATTGATATATAATACTATCTCCGTTTTCCAAAAAGTGTAACATTTATTTTCTGCATCTAGTATTATATTGGTTTATAGTGAAAAATACAAAAATATTCTTATTACATTGTGCGATGAAAAAATAATGATATTTGTGTAATATATTAGAAGTTTTAAGAGTATTAATTATATTAGATACATAATATAATTACTAAATTAAAAAAAAAATTAAAACGGATAAAAATGAAAAATTGTATCTTTCTTGTGGGACGGAAAGAGTAAATCAACACTCCTCTATATAATGTTTAATATAAAAAATAATAATGTTTGCATAGCATATTGTAAATTATAAGGGTTTTTTTTTATAGTATTATAAAATTATTTTTAATATGAAGTAGTACAATTATTTAAAAAAAAAGAAAAAAAAAGTAGATACATACAAAATATTAAAATAGATGCTTTGATATGAATTAGGCAAAGTAAAACAAAACATTTCATGTAATTTACACTAAAATAAAATTAAAGTGAAAATTAAATTATCTTTTATTTTTTATTTTTTTTTAAAAAAAGAAAGAAAACAGATTAACATAAAATCAAACCACCTAAAAATAAATATATTAGAAAAATAAAATTTAGATATATATGAACACTTATATATATTGGTGTGTTTGTTCGGGGGATTGGATTGAATTTATACTATTCATCCTATTTTTTTCTCTCAAAAATATTAAATCAAACACCTATTTTTCATTTTTTATATTATACTAAAAATCAATTTTACATTCAAAACATCACATCAATACCCGTTTATATCACATCGTAAAACTATTCAAATTCAAAATTTTTACTATTCAAATCCCAACTCAAAATCTAAACCCCCAAACAAACACACCCGATCATGTTGTTACAGATAATTACATAAAGAAGCCCAATTATACCCTTGTGAGTTTCTGCTGATAAATAGTTCATTGTTTCCTATTCCTCTGTACAAACTTGTGAATTGGAAGTTTGTTTTGTCCAACGATGTAATTTTCAAGCTCTCCGTATTATTGTCCGTTACATGTTTTAATATGAATAAAATTTATAACATAAGGTTCACTAAAAAAAATATATATATAATATACGAATATGCATATCATTTTATAGCATGTAAGAAACGACAATTTATATATATATATATATTTGTAACGAACTATTAATTTCCTTTTGGAAGTTGCCCTTCCGGCGAGTCTTTAAAATCGGTACTCGCTTTACTATAACAACTGTGGGTGTGTTTGTTTTGTAAAATTATTGAAAAATAAATTTTTTAACATAAATTATAAAAAATTGTATAAAAAATATAAAAATAATAATAAATATTGTAAAAAAAGAACAAAAACAAAAACAAAGCCATTATTTTTTGAATTAAAACTATATAAATAAAACTTATTGATTCAAGATGGGTTTAAGAACATCATCAATTTGGCCCCTCTTCCGCAGCCACCACTCACGGCGGAGCCGCCGCCGTAGAAATGCCGTTGATGTGCATTTTCTTGATCGGCGGACAAGGAGGACCGCTGATTCCGGGGATGTTGGTACAGCCAGATGCGTCGGAAGGAGAAACTGGCCCCCTCATAAGTGAATTGACAAGAATACCCTTCTCTTGCAAAGTTGCTCCCACATGATCATGCAAGAACATTAATCTTCCTCCACTTATGCCTAATGGCACAAACACAAATAATACTAATAATAATAAATTAAATATGATCAAATTTGGGGCAAAACTAATTTGCCTCATTGTGCTATCAAATAAATTAAAATGAGGTTGAGATTTCTGAGATTGATTGAATTATTTGTGTGTGTATATATATACACACAAATAATTCAATCAATCTCAGAAATCCCATATATATATATACACACACAAATATATTTAATTTCAAATAAAAATATAAAAAGTTAAATACCATAATTATGAAAAAATGTAAAAAAGTTCTAAAAAAAATATGGGTTGAGCAAATGAGATTGTGTAATCCACATTATTTTCAATTATATATACATATTTATTAAATAAAAATATACAATTTTTTTTAAAAAAAAATCTTAAAAAATATTATTGGTTGTTTCCATTTTACAAAATAAAACAACCCTATGAATATATGTAGAAATATATATCTACCAGAAATTATTAAAAAAATCTTAAAATACAAATATACAATCATTATAAATACAAATATATACCTTCCAAATAAAATTATATTTAATCCGTCCATTAAAATTAGTCTATTTAGATCCGGCACGGGAATTTAAAAAAAATGAATATTTTATTAAAAAAATGATAAATATTTGAGATATTTTTAAAAATTTAACTAAAAAGTAAAATAAACGAATAGAGAATGTAATAAAATGATACTTGTAGTAAACAAGTGTTGAAAGAAGGTAATAATTAAATTTTAATTTGTTGAATTTGCCAAAAATAGTAATAAAATAAATTTAGTAGACAAAAAAAAAAAGAGAATAAATGTTCCGGATGGAGGGAGTAATTAATAAAAAATGAAAAAAATTCTCAAAAAATCATTGGTTGAGGATTTAAAATGTTGGAACCTAAGCCATTCTCAAAGTAAATTGTACAATACTCCCTCCGTCCTAGATATTTTGTTCACTTTACTCTAAAAGCAGGAATTTAAGAGGAATATAATTAGTAAATAATTAAAAATATATTAGTGAAAATAATTATCATATAATAAAAATAATTATAGATTAATATTAAGGTAAATGATTAGTATAATTAAAATTTAAAAATTATAAATTAAATTTTTTAAAATAAGATTAAAGTGTATATTTCTTCCAGAAAATGAAAGTGACGAAATAAATGGGAATGACGGAAATGAAAAGGTGAACATGAAAAGTGGGAGAGAAAAAGTAATATGTTTTATTATAAATATATAAAATATTAGGACTTTGTTTATACTCCCTCCGTCTCATGTAATATAAGCCTATTCACGTAGGTATGAAAATTTAAGTAAAGTATGATTAGTAAGTAATCAAGAAGTGTATTAGTAAAAATAATTATTGTATAGTAAAAATAATTATAGATTAAAATTAAGATAACAAAATAGTTTAATTAAGATAAAAAAAATTTTAAAATTTAAAATGTAATTAAAGTGTACAATTGTATTTCCAAAAAAAAAAAGATAAATTATGTGGGACATACGAAAGTAGAAAATATGGACAAATTACGTGCGACTGAGGGAGTATAATATATTTTAAAAAAATTGACAATATTTATTTTTTAAAAAAATATTACATCAAATAGTTTTTAATTAAATAACTAATTTGACATGAAATAATTTATTTAGGGATAAGTAGAGTTATAGAGTTGTAAAACAAACTAATAGTTCTCGAGTTCGACTCGATTTAACTCGTTTGAGCTCGCTAAGAGCTTGTTCGTTAAGTTAAACGAGTCGAATACGAACATAAATTTTGGCTCTTTATGTTCATAAACGAGCTCGAACTTGTTCGTGAACATTTTATGGTATTTATTAAAAAATTAAATTAATAATTTTATATTTAATAAGTATATATATCTTTATAAATATTATTATATTTTATTTTTTATTCAAATTTATTAATAAAAATTATTATTACTATTAAATAAATTTAATTTTTTTTAAAGATTAAATAAATAAAATAAAGTTTTTCTTATCTAGCTGGAACGAGCCGAAAATATTAAACGAGCAAAACTCAAATAAAAATTTCAACTCATATATCTTAGCAAACGAACACAAACTCGAGTCGTTAGCGAGCCGAGCTCAAAGTAATCCCCTATGACAAAGTCGCTCTGTTCGGCTCGTTTACATCTCGGTAGAAATAAGGCTGAACATGACGACGTCTTTGGGCTTCCCTTTAAGCAGATAATACTTTCTCAGAATCCCCTCTCTGCGAAACCCTACTTTCTCCAGCACCCGCTGCGACGCCGGATTCTCCACCGCCACCACCGCCTCCAGCCGCTCCAGATGCGTCCACTCCACAAACACGGCATTAGCCGCCATCTGCACCGCGCGAGTCGCAATTCCTTTCCCCCAGTAATCGGACGCCACCACGTACCCTAGCTCCGCGCGGCACCTGTCTTCTCCACGGAAGGGGCTCACCGATAAGCATCCGACCGGCCGATTATTCAGGCAAATTGCTCGCTGCCATGGCTGGGGGATTACGAAGTGCGCGACGTACTGGACGGCGGCTTCTTTCGAGGTGAAGGTATTCCACGAGCAAAATTGGCTCACCTTTTCGTCGGAATACCTGTTGGAAATTGAAATTGATTTAGTACTGTGCTATTTTGTGTTAGAATTAGGTTAAGAAATTGGGGGAGAATTATGCCATTTGAAATTGATTCAGTACTGTACTGTTTTGTGTTGAGTAATTAGGGGAAGAAATTGGGTGAGAATTCTACCATTTGAAGAAATCATCGGCGTCTGCAATTTGAAGTGGCCGGAGAGTGATGCCGTGATCGGAGTAGCTCTCCATATCCGCTGGTATAGTTTCTTCTCTGCTTAAATTTCCTTGTCACTGAATTTACATAGATATACACAGAGATACAGAGGTGATTCATCTAAGATTTTATAGGATTTTAAAAAGTACGAACAGTATGCCAAGAATGGTGATTTTTTTTTTATTTATTTATTTTTTTAATTTGATTGGATGGTGAATTTTTTGTGAAGTTTCGGTATTTTGTGGTGTTTTTTTATACTTTTATTATTATTTTTTTTTTTTGGATGTATCGTGTAATTTTAGTTTTTTAGAAAATGATACTTCCTCTATCCCTTGAGAATTCAAGGGTCCTGTGCTATTTTTTAATTTAGTAATTGTCGTAATAAATACCTTTTCAACTTACAATATATTATGCAAATGTCACCATCTTTATAATAAAGATATTTTCGTCTTTTTTACTATAACCCAATATAATACTAATATTAAAGAATTTACGTACAAAAAATAAATGTTACTCTTTACATGAGACGAATGGAGTATATAATTTTATTTTTTGAAAATTGATATATAATTTTATATCATATTTGTCTTGATAGCAATTAATTATTTTTTAAAATTATTTTATTTGTAATAGTTATTAATTATGAATGTTAATATTCATATATGAAATTTTTAAATAAAATATAAATTATATGTGTATGAATTATAATTTAAAATTAATTAAAGGAGGTGTAATTTATAAATATGAAAAGATATATCAAATCATATAAAAGAATAATATAACTAGAATATAAAAATTGAAGTTTATGGTTAGAGTAAAAATAATCAACTGTATTTGTATTGTAGCAACAACAAAAATAGAGTGATGTGTTGAAGATGGTCTAATTCTATTAATTCTATTGGAATATTGTCATTTTTTATTTTAATCCGTTTAAAGAAAGATGTTACCATTTTTTAATTTATTAATTGTACTACCTACTAACATAATAAATATTTTTCTAACTTATAATACTTTATACAAATATAATTATTTTTATATTACATAATAGTAATAGTAGCTGTATTTTTTTCTTTCTTATTACAACCCAAAATAGTGCTAAACGGCCACCTTTCAATAGGATGGAGAGAGTAAAACATATTTATAGGTAAAAAAAAGACTATACTTCGGCCTTATTGACTATTTTAGTATTAGCAATACTCATTTTTCATGCACTAATTTATGTTATTTATACTATTTTATCTTCTTTATTGAGATATAGAGAATTCATATTTCGACATTCTTCAATAATTTTTTTATAATTATTAATAATGTAGAAATATTATAAAGTAATATTATTTTTGTATATTAATATTATATTTTTTATTTATAATTTTATTTTATATTCATTCATTATACTTTACGTTTCAATTCAAGGTAATCTATTCATTTTCGTGCAAGATTGTTGTTTACTTTTTAGACGTAGATTTTTGAATATTAGTATTTATAATGAGTTGTAGTGAAAAAGATAAAAATACCCCTATTAGTATTGTGTAATATAAAAGTAATAACATTTGTGTAATATAATATAAGTTGAAAATATATTTATTATATTAAGTAGGTAGTACAATTATTAAATTAAGAAATAATAATTTTATTTTGAAACAAACAAAAATAAAAAATAACAATTTTTCAATAAAATTGATAAAATATTATTTTTACTATTTTTATTTGTCTAGCATCAAAGTATCAAGTTTTTCGCATAAAAAATAATTCATTCAAATCATTTAACAAAAATAAATGCCTTGACTTATAATAAGTTAAAAAAGAAGTCGTTGATGGGAAAAGGTAGGATAGGTCTATTCTGGAGCCTGGTTGATTAGCTTATTTTCTTTGAACTTATTACATTGAAATGGAAATGGGATGACTTTCTTGAGAAGAATGGGCGGCTTTGTTTCATGTCTGATGAGTGATGATTGTTTTTGTAGGATCATTCCGTCCCAAAAATACAGTCTTATTGTATTGGGTATGAAATTTAAAAATATTGATATTATATTAATAGTTAGTATAAAAAGTAGTAATAATTGTGTAATAATAATAAAAAAGTAGAGATAATTTTACGTTGATATAGTTATTTATGAAAATGAGATTATTGTTTTAAAACGGATAAAAATAATAAACAAGACTATTTTATTAAGACAGATGGAATATTATTTATTTTTTTCAAGTAAATTTTTAAATATTAATTACTCAGTCTCCAATATCATATTATGGTTGTCGTATTTAGTGGTGGAGTTAGTAAGGGCCGAAGAGTGTTCAACCCCTTAATTAATTTTATTTTGTATTTTGTTATATAATATTTATATAATTTTAAAAATTTAAATAATTGACAACCCCTATAATTTAGTAATTTATTTGAGGGATTGGATTGGATTTATACTATTCATCCCATTTTTTCTCCTAAAAAAACATCAAATCAAACACCTATTATTCATTTTTTATATTATACTAAAAATCAATTTTACATTCAAAATATCACATCATATAACTATTCAAATTCAAAATTTTTACTGTTCAAATCCCAACTCAAAATCCAAACCGACAAACAAACACACCTAAAAGTATTAGTAGTATTATTTATATTTAACTCAAATATTTAAAAAATTGGTTCAAATATTTTAAATATTTAGAAATATTTGAAAAACAAATCAGTTGAAATAAATTAAAAATTTATTTGTAATTTTTTATTATATTATATGTTATTTATATTAAAAGAATTTGGGCCCCGCCAAAAAAATTCTGACTCCACCTGACAATATATACGAATTTTTTTAAAAAAATATAATTAATAAAAAAATTAAAATATATTAATTAATTAGTCTAATAAAAATTAAAAGAATTATAAATTATAAAATTTAAATTGTACTTAAACTATATAATCCTTTTTTTTAAAAAAAAATAATAATAAAAAAGAAAGGTGATATAGATATATAACAAACAAAAATAAAAGATATGATGTTATATATGAGACGGAGAGAATAGTATATAATACGAAAGATGAATGATTATAAAAAAAAAAAAAAAAAAAAAAAAAGATAAAGTAGTTAAATAGTAATTGTGATATTGAAATAATATGTAAGTTTTGTAAGGATATATATAAATATATGTATATATATATATTTTTTTTAAGCTGAAACTAGAACGAAATGGCAAAATAGGTAAGTTGATATTGGACTGAGAGAGTATAAAATTTTTAAAAACTTGTTTAGATATATAAAAAAAATTTTTCCTCTACAAAATCATCAAATCAAAATTTTAATTTTATTTTAATATATTATTGGAAAATCAAGTTTTTTTTTTTATTTAAATATCAAATTAAATATCTATTTATATCATAATAAATACTATTTTAATTCATATACTCTCTCCGTCCCATGTAGTACATGTAGTATGGGTGTATTACTGTAGACACGAGAATTTAGGTAAAGTATAATTAGTAAGTAATTAAGAAATGTATTAGCAAAAATAATTATTATTTAGTAAAAATAATTATAGATTAACATTAAGATAACTAAATAGTTTAATTAAGATTAAAAAAATTAAATTTTAAATTTTAAAATATGATTAAAATGTATAATTAATTTTCCAAAAAATGATAGGACAAATTATGTGCGACGAACAAAAATAAAAAATATGAAAAAATTATGTGAGACGGAGGGAGTATTTTTTATTGTCAAACTCCAAGCTCAAATTTGAACTTTAAAAGAAGGCACCTTAAATTTTACTGTGAGTGGTAAAAAATTGAATAATACTATAAAATACTCCCTTTGTCCCAAACACCCTGTAATATTTTCTTTTTGGTATGTCCCAAACACCCTGAAATATTTTCAAAATAGGAAATAATTAATTATACTTAATCTCTACTCCACATTTTATCCCCTCACATCATCCAAATAAAAAAATAAAATATATATTTTTCTCTCCATCACATCGCCTCATTTCTAAATTATCCTACTTAATACTATCTACCTAAAAACTCGTGCCAAAAGCAAATGTTGCACCTTAAAAATAATATATATGTCGAGTATATTAATTTTTTGGAGAAAATATGTTGGAAAAATTTTGTTAACGAAACAAACTAATTTTGCTTACTCAAATAACTTTTTAGTGATGCCATTTTTAATTCCTTCAGTACAAGGTAAAACTTTGTATTTTACTATTTTAGTCTGTCTAAATAAAAAAATATATTTTTTTTTATTTTTTAAAAAAATAACTCTTACATAAATACCAAAATACTCATACTTTTTTATTTTTTACATTACTTTTTAAAAGTAAAATAGGCATTATATTACTTTATTATATGTAAAATACTAATTACCTTCGTTCATGTGCAAAAGTCAAATGAGAAGTTTACTGGTAGAGGAAACATTTAAATTATGGGTGTTTTTCTTAACAATCCAAAATCTAATTTCTACTATTTAGACTCTGCATTTTCCAAAAATATATATATTTAAGATATTTTACTACTCCTCCCGTCTCACATAATTTGTCCATATTTTTTATTTTTCGTCCGTCCCACGTAACTTGTCATTTCTATTTTTTGGAAATATAACTATGCACTTTAATCGCATTTTAAATTTTAAATTTTATAATTTTCTTAATTTTAATTAAACTATTTATTTATTTTTATCTTAATTTTAATCTATAATTATTTTTACTAAATAATTATTTTTACTAATACACTTCTTAATTACTTATTAATTATACTTTACCTAAATTTTCGTGTTTACAGTAATACACTCATATTACATGGAACATAAGGAGTATTTTACTTGGACAAATGGATTATTTACATGTGACAGGTAATTATTATTTTTATATTATCAAATACTATTCTTTATACATCGTATAAAAAAAAATATTTCAATCTAAAAACTAAACAAATACACCCTAATTACTTATACATATGCTTGAAATTTGACATTTTAAATAGTAAAACCTTTCCTCAAATAGTGCAGTGTAATCGATTTTGTTAATTAACCATAAACAATAGTAAAATATATGGGAAGAACTCAATAATTATTACCATAAGATATATTCTTTAAAA